ATATATATATATATGTGCACACATATAAACATATGCGAACATGTATATATATATATATATATACACCCGCGACGTAGCAAACCTGGAGACCCTCAAACCGACCCGCCTCTGATGGTTTTCCCATGTCCTGCCCACCAAGTGTAGAGCTGCAGAGTTTTGACAATATGTTGGGTGCTCCGACTCAGCGAATTGAACACAATGAGGCACGGGTCGACGAAGCTGCAACAGCAAACCCCCTTACCCAAGTGTCCAGAGGCTTGAATCGAGGATACTTTGATCCTAAAGCACTGCGCAGTAGCATCTCTAAGGCCAATGAAAGCCTCGTATAGGCACATTGGAGTAGCTTTTTGCTCTGGTTCTGGCGCAACCTAGTCGTTTCAGGGCTCAAGTGGTTGATTGGGACAAGGGCTTCCGGGTTTTAAGTACCGTTTTCACCAGGAGGCAAAGAGTACCAAAGCCAATCTCAAGTCCGAACAGGGACCCTGCATTGCACCATGCATGCACCTAGCAAGACAACGGGGTCTCTTTATTGAACCAGAATCGAACCCGTCCTTCCATGATTTCGGTGGGTCAAAGCTTCGGCCAATGATGTCTGCCATGGCACCGTTTCCAATCGCCCGGACCTGTTGCAGTGGAGGCTTAGCATTCAGCCCGGTGAGCTCTGATGGCGTGAAGAACTTACGGGACTCGTTTTCCGGCATCATTTCGTAACAAACCGATCCCAACACTGAACAGCCTTTCTCCCTGCCAGAGGCGTGAAAGCTCGGAGTTATTTTCCTAGGGTTACGGCTTTGGGGTTTGAGGTTTTGGGGTCTTCTTTGGAATTCAAGCTCTTAGTACCTGGGGTCTGATCGTATGGACGTTGGACATCGCCCACCTTCAACTCCTTTCCCAAGTGGGTGGTCTTTCCAAGCACGCCCCCGGTGTCACTGGAACAGGCGATGAGGGGCAACTCCTGCGACTGGCCAGCTCTGAGTTGTTGACAGCTTCAGACGGTCGTGACAATCACCCAAAGGGATCGACCGATGGAAGTCTAAAGCCCCACAATACACCTTTGGCCTCCGCCTGTTTGACGAGACGCGTTGCAAGGTGTTTTTTCAGGCTCGATTCGGACAAAGCACTAAACAGTAGACACCCTGAGGAGCAAAATCCCGAGCCGCACTACCATGCCCTAACCCTCAGATAAGGATTTTTTTGCTTGCGGATTTCGAGCTGCTCGCTGCTAGTTCGATACCCCCGCGCCAAAGTCATTTGGGTCGAGTTTAAGATCTCCGCCGAGTTCCAGATCATGAGACGTGGCCGCGCTCTTTTGCCATTTTGCCTGAGTCCCGGCCCCTCTGATGTTCCTCATTATCAGCGAGCAGTAGTCTTTGGGTGCGGGTGGCTTTCCATGCTTCCCTTCGAAGTTGCCCCACGAAGCTCCTGGTATCCAGGCTTCCCTGCATGAAGATCCTCGTGCCACTTGATGTAGTTCCTTGGCTTTCAGTGTTTGGGTTCAGGGTATTCGGATCGGCTTAGTCAGGGTACCCCGAGCCTTGCGCAACCCGCAGGTTCTTATATGCGGGGTCGCGATTAGGAGGGGCATGCCTTGGCCCAGGAGGAAGGAATTCAACCGAACTTTGCTTGCTTGGAGATGCAACCGTTCATGCAGCTTCTTCTGCCGAGCTGGTGTCTGGCCGTGCCAGGTAGCAGCCGGGAGCCGGACGTTCGATGCGTTTTACAGGGGTCCTTGCTAGATTGCTAGATCCCACCCACTGCACATAGCCAGGGCCTGATTGACGAAGAAGCCAAGCTTTCGATGGCTATGGACACTAAACACCAAAAGGACCGCGCTTTGCAAGCAAGTGGCACAGCCGCTGCGACCTGCAGGACAGGCTAAAGCAGAGCGGCCATAACCACTCAACGACAGACCATCTAGAAGTGAAGATACACCCGACAATCCAAGTCTCAACTCTGAATCTTAGGCCTTAAGGTCAGGTGGTGGCGACAGGAAATTCATGCAATTCCTCCTAAGCTCCTGACGACGACAAAACCCCAAAACTGCACCTAAATCCCTCGACTACCCGCTAGCACAGCTTAAGAACTCAGCATAAAACAGCATAAGGGCTCTATGACACCTTTAACACTCAACCCAAGGTACCTTGCGAGGTCCTGGTGGTCGGATTCATCCCCCTGAAACAGTCCCCTGAAGTTCGAGTGCCTTCGAAGCTGTCAGCTGCATGTCCCAGCCAACCACCTGGGATTTGCTCGAATTGTTTGGGCATATGTTTTGGTCTGTTTCTTTTGAGGCGAGAGCACACGGTAGCCCGACACAATCCGAAGAACCCCTACGAAACCAGTTTGAACCCCTCTAAAGCCCGTAGAACGAATAAGCAAATGCCTTCTCAGCACACATGAATCCAGATGAAGCTTGTCCACAACACTGAAAAAGGCTTTTAAGCCCTTACAGAAACCTATAGACCCCTTCTACACGACCCCAAACCCGACGGTCCAAGACAAGGTCCCATTTTCTGAAGGATTAGGGTTCAGGGCTTTAGGGTAATGTTAACTGGAAAACTATAGGATTTTGGGCTGTAAGGCTCTAAGCAGTTTAAGGATGTAGGGTAGAGATGCCTTGCAGACGGTTACCTGCATGGTCGGTTACCAAGTTTCGGCGGCAAATTATGTCCTACGTAGGGCCATACTTTGGTACGGTCTGGTATGTGTGGTACAAGAAACTATGCCTTCTCATCATAAAGGCCCACTCCGTGTGAGGAGTTAATTCACCGGCAAGTCGCGATCGAGTCCACATTCGGCCTGGCTTTGATAGCATCCACGGCAGCCATCATGTCCTCAGTACTGACAAATGAGCTGGCAAACTAGCTAGCCCAGGAAGCACGGTTACAAGTGAGACAGTGCGTAACATTAACCGTACCGTCCACCAGGGAACCCGATGCAAATCGAAAAAGGAGCGTGCGACGCTTAAACTACGACCCCCCCCACAAAAAAAAGACCCTGATCATCCGAAATGTCAAACTGAAAGAAATTCCAAGACCCCAGCGTCTCCCATCCGAAGAAGCACGGCATGCCGTGCTCTTACCATTTGGGAGTTGGGGCTTGAGGTCAGCACATACCCCAAAAGCCTGTTTCTGGACACTAGTTCGGGGGTCAGGCCGAAGATCCTACTGCTTCGGGTACAGGTGTATCGAGGTACATATATATATATATATATATATATATATATGCAGGTTGTGAAACATATCTAGACACACTATGCAACATATAGATATATATATATATGTACACATACATACATACATACATACATACATACATACATACATACATACATACATACATATAATCAAACACAGTAACACACACATACATATATATATATATATATACATGCTGAATTTTGATGAGGACATCGCTTTCGGGAGTTCTCATAGGGTGCACTTGAAACAAAGACACATGTCTGTTGACGTGGTGCAGCCCTTCCTGTCCCTGCCACCTACTTTTCGCACTCTCAATCTCACAGTCACTTTCGTAATGGGGGAGGAGTCCTCTAATATGGGCATCTGAATGATATAGTACAAACCGTCAGTCAGTCAAAGGAAATAGAGTTGGAATTCCAATTAAATGCTTCATACAACATGCCCATACCTTCAGTACAATAAGGAAGCCTAGGCATGACATGGGTAATCCTAAACCCTAAAACCCTCCCTTTTCAGACCTCAAAATTATGCGACGGGCTGCCAGCTTCTCGAAGTGGGGAGCCGTCTTACCGTTGTCGTCGATGGTGGCAAAGTAGTCTGTGATGCCTGCGGCGTGTTTAGGCATTGAGGTTTTCGGCGCTCACACTGGGACTCTCCAGGCGAGGCATAAGGTACGAGTCTGCAATGTTTTAGGGTCTGGGGTTTAGGGTTTAGGGAGGGCTCTTCCTGTATGCCCGAGAAGCGCAATTGCTCATGTAGCGGAGTAATGTTCCAAAAACAGTACCCAGGTCCCACGCCCTAGAAGAACAGCGAAGTAACCTCTAAACCCAAAGCCCTACATCATGTAAACCACATTGCACAGAAAACCAGCCCCCATATCCTAAACCCTGAAACACTAAGAGCTGCGGCCTAACAAGCGGCACTCTTCCAGCACTCCGGTGTCCGAGGTGATGATGAACCTGGGATTTTCATGTAGAATGTGGAATAGGTTTCAGGATTTAGGGCATGAAGCTACATAGGCAATATGGAGTCTTACCAGGAATCTACAAGGGCACTACGGGGATGTAACAGAGAGGCCGAAGTCGTTAGAAAAGGGTTCTACAATTTTACCGGGGTGTCTATCATGGTAGCACCTGGGACTCCCACACCTGAGGTGCCTTAAAGGTGCCGTATTAGGCACGTAACGGTTTACTCTGGTGATCCATTGTATTGTCTTCTGCTGTAAGATGCTATGCTATATCATAGTATATTTTTACGTGGTATACTTTTTCTGAGACAGTGATCTCTTACAACTCTTTGGGTAACTGGGATTCTAGGTTAGGGGCGTGACCAGACTGTTCTGCAATGCGTGTACCACAGACTTCCGAGGATCCAGGGGGAAAGGCGCGTCGCAGTGTGTACCGAGCCGTTCAAAAACCGCATCTTGGCTCTGATGCTTCAAACCCAAAACATACCCTAACCCTCCAGGTACCTACTATATAGGGCCTTAGGGGCTCTAGTACCCTATATAGTAGGTAACTGGCGGCTAGGGATAAGCTTGACAGCCTTCTAAGCTAAGCCCTGAGCTGCTTCTGGGCTTCGTTTGTCTGAGTGCGAAGTCTAAGCCTAAGCGCGTTTTGGGCTTGGGCATAAGTTCCATGCAAGTGCAGCCGTTCAGTCCAAACATCGCAGCTCCTGGGAATTTCAGAGAACCCCAACTCGAATCCGCAATCCAACACCTCCGCCTGCTCCGTGCTTAAATCTTGCACGCTGGCCTCTGGCACACTGGAACCTAGATATCTTCATGTGTGTATATATATATATACATGTACATGTATATATATATATGTACATACGCAGGCACACAGATCTAGCGGTCCATCTATCCATCGATCTATCTATCTATCTATCCATCCATCGTGCTATCTATCTGTCTATCTATCCATCGGTCTATCGATAGATCTATCGATCGACCTATCTATCTACCTATCCACCTACCTACCTACCTACCTACCTACCTACCTACCTACCTACCTACCTACCTATCTATCCAACCCTCCATCCATCCACCTATCTATCTATCTATCTATCTATCTATCTCTCTCCCTCTCTCTCTCTCTCTTTATTCTTGCGACTGGGAACTGAACAGTTTCTACTGGTGCCTTGGAGAAAACCTAAACCCTAAACCTTCACCCTGAACCCCAAACTCTGAACCCGAAACCCGACGTGCTTTCTTGACCCAGGCGCGGCCGCTTCAGCTGCATGGTCTGCAAGTAAGCCGCGGTCGTATAGGAGGCGCTGATCATCCTGGGTAGTTCTCTAAGTCAGGGCCCCCAAAATAGTACGGCACCTATAAAAAGAGCTTAAAAGGGAAAGTCATTTTAGACAGCTACTCCCTGGGTTTAGGGTTTAGGTTAACAGCGCCGGTCTACGGCCCTGAACGGGTACTGTTGGGCTTCAATGCTCTTTGGGGCATGCGGAGTCTCTCGTAGTTAAGCGCCCAAAAGCCTCTCCGGTCTTGGGTACGGGGTTATGGAAGGCTATGGATATTATGGGGAGTAGGGGACAGGCACACCCCTATAAAACCATTCCAAACCCCTAAAAAACCCAAACCCGCGAAGCAATACGCCCTAAGTCCTTAACCCTCGAAACTGTATGAGCCCCAACATCCTTATCACAGGTCCCTTGTTGCAAGCGGGGCTCATACTCAGCTTGTCCTCATGGCTGCGCTGCCCGAAGCTGATGCCTGCATTTGGCTGAGGATTCCCCTTTTGGGAGTGTCTTGCGATTTCGGGCAGGGGGGTTTACAGTTTGCAAATTGGTGTTACTATATGGTTCAGGACTTCCTGTTAGTAAAGGTCTTAGCATGAGGCTTTTCGATAAGGGCCATGGGGCCCCGAAGACTCTTATGCCCTGTGCTTATACACCTCACAAAAAAAGACCCAATCAACATGCACATGCGCATGAGTCTCTGGGAGCCATCTCAAGCAGAAGCCCGGATGCCCAGTCATCTACATACTAGGTTACCGGGCTCCCGGCATCATACACATGCTCCAAAAAAAAGTGTTTTCCATGCGCCTGAAGGAGTTCAAGAAACCAAGGACTTGTTTTACTACTTCTCCAGGCTTCCATCTTATGAATCCGAGTGCCCTGATGTCGGGGCTTAGGACGTTTACCTCCTCCCACGTTTGACCCACAATCCTGCAACATGTCAATACGGATTCTCATAACTACGTACTAGGGTTTATGATATGTTTGGCTCTTGTGGCTATAGTAGGCGTTCTCATAGCTTGAGCTTCCGGCTTCCGGCAGCACATCTACGAAACCGAAAGTCAACCTCAACATGTTAGAGTTTGCAGACGTGGGAAGACTACGCCACATCACCCAAATCCTCCCACTGCTTGCTCCGACGAGTTTTATCCACGTTGGTGCTATCACAGCCACCGGACTCACAGCAGAACTCGCTGCTTTAGGGTTTGTGGGGGCTTTCGGGAGCTGTTCCAGGGGCATAAGGATGAAGGTGTTCGTGAAAGGCCTTAGGGCATACCAAAAGCCGAGTTCGGTATGGTTACAGTAAATTCCGAAACTCACTCATGGCCTTTGGAAACCCTGCGGAGCCGAAAATGTAAGCACGGGCTCAAGTGACTTCTGAGCCCAGAACCCCGAACACAAGTCCGGTATGAACTCGGACACTGACGATTGACAAATTACAAAAGCAACTCCAGTCTAGAAATATGCACATCGGACGACCTTCATATCCTAGGACCAGGACACGCAGGGCAAAAGATTGCGTTGAGACCCAGCCACCTGCGCCCAACCCTGATTTGACACAGTCGCTTGAATCGCAACCTCCAGCAAACACAACACAATCTCAGGCTCCACTTCCTCTAAACCCCCTGAAAGTCTAAACAGGCTACAACATTTGACTACTTAGCAAGAATAGTGTGCCCTGACAATCGAAATGAAAAACATATGTATGCATACACACACACACACACTGAAAGTATGATATACACGAAAGCCCTGTCCCAATATCTACCCCAAATCGGCTTTAATTCAGTCCCCGGGTGAAGCCTTTTCCTTCCAGCTGCTGAAGAAATTGAGAGCGTGTCTTGTTGGAGTTGTTCGTGACCTGCTCCCGATCATAGCTTCCGGGTTCGTTTCTGACGAAAGGTGCCTGATGAATTCCTTTCTTTTATAGGCATCTGTTTTCTATTCCTTACTGAGCTTCCAGGGTTTAGAAGGATTTCGGACGTGAGGTATCGCGCCTTTCGTTCTCCGAAGACTCCCCACGCATCCCCACATCAACAGGCTTGAACTGCAGCCATCTGCCCTAACCGCTCAACCCTCAGGTCCTTTCACTCTGGGCCGGAAATGCCCTCATGTCTTGCCAACATACTATAAGGGCCTTAATCATTAGAATAGGGTTTGGGGGTATAGTATACTATACTTATAAGAAGGAACCCTCAACACCCTATTCTAATTATTAAGGCCCCTACATTATGCCCAATCCTGACGTCTGAAGCTTTTGTAGGATCTGGGATCTGGAGGTAAAAGATTCCCCAAGCAGGCGCTATTGGCGACTGTTCGATGTGCTGGTGCAGGGGAAGAAGGTTCCGACTATGATTTATTTAGTGTTGATTCCTCCATATTCCTCCTATCGTCCACGCCAACCGACAGGACAAGAGTCTCAGATGTTGTAAGCCTACAAACCCGAAGCAACAAAAACACCTATGTCACAACTGACACCGTCAAGCCTGAAATACTAACAAACCAGTCAGCACCGATGAACCTTCCCGTAACATCGGAGACCCCGCAAGCCTCAAGCTTGAGCCCAGGTCAAGCTGCGAACACCACCCCCTTTGCTGAAGACTCCCTACCTATCCCCTTTCAGCCCTAAGCCCTAAACCTAAATTTAGCTCAGATTCCAAACCAAAACTCTCGCGATAGATACAGGTTTCCGGCGCCAAAGATCCTCCCTCACCCAGAACCCTAGACATTCAAGCCTAAAGCCCTAAACTGCAAAACCCTGACGCACTAGAGCGTAAATTACTGGAGCTGAACCTAAAACTTCAACTCCTAGAACACTCAGGCAGGATAGTAGTAGAAGTCGTAGTAGTAGTAGTAGCAGCAGCAGCAGGAGTAGTAGTAGTAGTAGTAGTAGTAGTAGTAATGGTAGTAGTAGTCGTCGTCGTCGTCGTCGTCGTCGTCGTCGTCGTCATACAATATATTAATCAATGGAAATAACATAGGAATAATGGATATAGTAGAAAGGATCGCGATCCTGAACCCGAAAGTCTGACAAGAAGTGAAGTTCCGGACAAGCTGCGAACATGACCCGCTTCCCGAGACGCAGGAGATGATTCACCGTGGTCACGGAGGTCTTCGAATCCTCCGCGCATCGTCGCAGGGTTTAGGGTTCAGGGTTTATGTGGTTTTTTCCCCTCTCGCATTATGTGGTTTAGGGTTTAGGGCGTGGGTTTTGGGACTTTGCAAGGAGGTTGTGAGGGCTGGTAGATAAGATGCCCAAGTTCGTGCACCTAAACCCCAGTTATATGACCTGCCTTTTTACCAACCACCCTCTGTCAAGGCCTAAGTCTCAATACTCACTTCGCATTTGGGACTCAGGATGTTCAGTTTAGCGTACTTGAAGGATCTCGGGGCAGAGGGAAAAATAAGGCTGCAGGTGCTGTGTGATACAGGAGCCTGATAGCCACAGTTATCGTACACACAGCCCGCCATGTAGCCTACCTCAACCCTAAAGAACCTACCTTGTTAGGGCTCCTTGTCGTTACTTCCTTCTGCAAGTCCTTGGAGAGGTAGGCTAAATTTATTCAAGGTCCAGGTAGTCACTAAGTTCCATGATCCTCCATGTTCCCACCACCCATGAACTCTCCACAGCATCCTCGTCGGAGATGCCCCAAAGGACTCCGTCGCAATCGAAGACGTACGTTTCAAAAGACCTCGGTGATTCAGAGATGCATGGGCGACAGCACTTGGAAGAGTGAGAAATGGCAGAACCCCCGCCCCTCCACAAGCATCTTCCGAAACCCTGAGCTCAAGAAGTAGAGCTTGATTGTTAGGGCCCTTGGGCAAGAGGGTCTAATTTCGGGACGGAGTAGCTCGACGCTTCATACCGGCAACTCGCAAACCGACAGCATGAAACTCTACTCCCTTGCCGCAAACTTCATGCAAACGCCCGCAGGCACGGATCCACCAACCGGAAAACTTAACATGGCAGAGCACACGAACTCGTGGTACGGCATGGTTTTCGCTTCCCGGATGGGTGACACCGCCATGGCGTCGGCATAGCCTGAATTGGACGTCTCCTGAGTGGGGCTTGAACACGTTCGTGTTGTGCTTGGGCTTCTTCCGCATGGTTTAGTAAGCGTGCGAGTTAAGGCTTAGAACATGTGAAAACGCTGGCGAACACCTGATTTCGCTGCGAGCTGGCGTCGGATTCCCACGACGTTTACTCGCGACCAAAGCGCAAGTCCCACCCTCAAAGAACAGTCACTACTATTCCAAACAAACCTGAACACTAAGATCTTAAACTTCCTAAACCTCAAGCCCCAGAATTGAAAGGCCAGTGTCCGTAGCCGAAAGGACAAGGCTGCCGGTGGTGTATCCCTCTCCACGGGGAAGGCACGGACCACACCAGACCTCAAGGACGTCTTATGATGGGGAGCTGTAGTTACGATAGGCTCGTTGAGCTGCAGGGATTTAGGAGTTCGGGGTTTAGAGGCTCAGGGTTTATAGGGGTTAGTTGAGGTTTCGACTCACACACTCGCAAAGCAGGCATGGCAATAAGGTTAGTTGAGGTTTAAGGTATATAAGGGTTTAGGTGATTATGGTCTAGGTGACTATGCCTATGCCTCTTTGGAACCTGTCGCGAGGAAGCTCGCAACAGACAGGCATGGTCTTGCAAAGATGTTACGGGACCCTAAACGCAATAGGTATTTATACTTCCGAGAGGTTGAAGGTTTAGGTGTTTAAGGTTTATATGGTTTAACTTCTGATTCAGGACTTTTGTGCGCAGTGCTGTCTGGGTTCCGGTTTTAAGGAGGATAAGGTACCGATCAACCACAAGTCCAGAGTGCGCCGAGATTCGCTGGGGCCGTCGGACATGGCAATAGAAGAACTCCTTGACGCTTTTGAAGGCTTGGGGTTTGTTTAGGGTTTCGGGCCTAGGATCTATAGGGTTCAGGATGTATTTAGGGTTTCGGGTGTATATAGGGGCTTTGGGGTTTGCCACCGTAGGCTGTTACACTTCTCTATTTGTTTTTTCAGGGCACGGGGGCTTTGGGATTGGATTTAGGGGCCTGAGAGTGTATAGGGTGCGAGCCATTCGCCCCATATGGGTTTAGGAGTAACATGACTATATTCGTGTCGAGGGAGCTACTTCCTAAGAACAACACCTATCTGAATCATTCTGACCCTATTTTATCGTTGCATCTGCTGTCCTTGCCTGATCTGTGGAACTAAAGTCCCCAGGCCGAAAAAGGATACGAATCTCGACAAGAATCCTTTCATGCGGTAGTGACATGGTGGTTGTAGCCGCAGAAAACAGGGCACCCTGATACAGACCCTGCCTTTTAGGATCCTGACTACTTATTACGGCTCGCTGTTACGAAGCACCTTTACCTTCCTGATGGGACGCTACAAAGGCTTCCTTTCAGGAACAAGGTGATCGGTGGAAAACCAAAGCTGTAGGATATCCTTTGAGGCCGCAGTCGCCCAATCCCGACGGTCCAAGAGAAGGTCTAGTTTTCTGAGGGATTAGGGTTCAGGGCGTTGGGGTAACGTTAACTGGAAAACTATAGGATTCTGGGCTGTAAGGCTCTAAGCAGTGTAAGGGTGTCGGGTAGAGATCCCTTGAAGACGGTTACCTCCAGTTATCCAGTATCCGGGGGTAATGAGGGTTGACAGCAGGGTTAACCTAAGCTTAACATCAATTCGAGACTCCTTTGTGTGCCTGTGGTGCTCTTTTCTGGCAGCTAGGGTTGTATACGATTGTTCTTAAAGTCTTCTGGCCCCTTTTTCGGGGTTCTTCAGATGAATCTCCTATCTATAAGCCAAGCATAATGTAGACGCTTGGTCTTCTTGCTTAAATTCAGGGGTCAATGCCGACCTCAACCCTAAATGCTGCGAAACCCATACAACTGGTTAGCCCAAGCCATAACCTAAAACAATGGGCACTATCTCAGTATAGCATGTATATATGTACAATAAACAAAAATGCCAACAACTAAGTCTGTGCATATATATATATATATAGATATGCACATATCTATATCTACATCTTTGTCTATATCTATCTTTTTCTATATATTTACCAGGTGCCAGATGCAGTCTGGGCGCGTCCGAAAGGAGCCCCGCGACGGATGAAAGCGCCACGTGCCGCGACCCACAAATGGGCCACGAAGCATACACAGGCCCTACGTGGCTGATCTGGTTTACTAACGATGCTGTAGTGAGTTGTATATGATCAACCATGTGCTATATCTGTTGCAGTACATATAAAAAAGGGAGCGTTCGTGGGCCTAAGCAGGGTTTCAGGATATGACGAAATTACAGCTTATGATAAACGAGGAAAGCTGCGCATTAGCTGTTTCGACAAAGCTGGATGAGACAGGTTTGTGAGACGTGTTGGTCTGTTGGGCCAAAGTTGAACGGCCCAGAGAACCCTAAACCCTAAACACGGAACGTACGTCGGAGGAGAAGTGCATCCACATATGACAAGCTGCAGTCATCCGTGAACAAATCACGCCTTGAGCCTGACCCTGCAACGGAGCGTTGAGGATTTAGGACTTTTTTTGTTGGAGGATTGTGGGGAACCTAGCAAGTAGGGGCGGAAGCAGGCGATATTAATGAACTATGAAGGCTAAGGGGATTCGTGTTGAAGACCTGGGAAATACGTATCCGACAAAGCGCCAGCTTCAACCCTTGCAAAGCTAATAAGATTGGGGGCAGGACTGCCCTGAACCCAAATGCCCTAAACCCTTGGCCTTTAAACGGGTTCAGGGTTTAGGGCCCCCTGAAGGCCTCCAAACCCCAAAACCCAAGTCGTTCCTGCTGAACACTTCGGTCTCTGCACCGAAACCCCCTGAACACCCAGATGTACCACCCCTATGAACTCGAATATGCTTTGGGCTGCTGCTGTTTCCCTCAGGGACTACTTTGCCAAGCGCAAATACCGCTGGGGACGACATCTTGCATCGAACAACAAACCTCCTTGCTGTTGCTTTCGCAGTTCAGATGCATGGCATTCTGCTTGAATTGCTTCTCCGGCAATTTGGGGCCTAAAGACTGACAGTGCCTGGGACCACCCCCACAGCCAGGACCTATCAACAATGATTATTAAGGTCCCTAAACCCTTATGGTAGCCCTTGTAGAACCCTTTGAAGGAAGCCTAAAACCCTATTCTAAGTATTGGAAACCAAAACCACAGGACCCCTTTTTGAAGCGTCTTCAGGACGTGAGGCGAAGAAATCTATCCTCAAGTCGTCGGTCCGGAAGCTACCCAAACGTGCTGAACACTGCGGAAGCGCACTAATGCTAGGAACTATGATTTTAGGGTTTAGGGTTTATCTTATCAGGCTTCTCAGAGACTTTGAGAGACTTTGAGCCCGCACCACAAACCTAAACCCCTGGTCCCCATCCTGAACACCGCTGTCCTTGTATCTTGCAACCGCAACTCCAAAACACCACAGTCCCTAAACTTGAAAACCCTACCAGCACAATCTAAATCTTAAGACCCCTTAAAGTCAGACTAAACCCTGAACACCATGCCATAGCATCTGTTCAGCCCGGCGGCACGCAGGTTACCGTCGCTGGTGTGAAAGTCCCCGTGCGGCAGCTCCTGTTCTTGTGTTTAGATGTGGTTTCGGGGTTGGGTTGAGGCTTAGGAATTAGGGATTTCGTAGCGAAGATCCGAAACGGGCTCTAAGAACAGGCTTTCGGGGCATACGAGCTTAATGAAGACTCTCCGAAGGAACCCCGATCTTAAGTGCATTCCGAAGAGCAAGCTCTCCACGGAGGGAGTGTAGCCCGCGGCACACTGCGTAGTGCAGGAGGTGAAGGGCAAGATCTTCTCGCCGTCGGCTGCCTGCAGGATTCTCTAGGTTCTGCAGGCTTTCGGGCTCTAGGGTGATAGAGCTAAGGGTTATATAACGGTTAGAGTTTAGAGTCTAGAGGCTGACGGATCATGGGTTTAGGGTTTGAAGGTTCGGAGAACCTCATATGGGGTATTCAAGCTCAGCAGTTCAGCGTTATGGGTCTTGGGGTTGACGGCTTAGCTATGCTCAACACAGCTTGTAATTGAAAAGACCAGACATCACGCTGACTTCTGTTGTGCTTGCCTCATCCTTTCAGCCTACGTTGTCCTGTTGGTGAGTTCCTTCACCCTGTATAGACCCTATAGTACACATAACCCTGCAGCATACTAGACAGGATACCAGCCTTCCAATCTAGGCTCATTGAATTTTCTGTTTAGGGATTACGGCGTTAACGATAATGACTTGGATTCGACTCTCGAACTGGTACAAGGCAAGCAACACGGTTGTTTTGGGTCAGGGTTTCTCGGTAATTCCACAACGAGTGGTCCAATTTATTCCTCACTGCTACTCGCAAAATCCTGACAGCCTCAAGCCCCACAACCCGGAAACCTTCAAACCGATTTTTGGGACCAGGCGTTGGGATTTCGGAGCTTTACGAACCCCAGTAAACCGTCACAGAAACACAACTCAAACACCGCAGAATTATGGAATCCTGATACGCGCGCATAAAACACAACCCGAAAACCAGGTGTCGATTTCAACAATTCTCGACACTATATACGGCCTTGAGCCCACATGGGAAATTCAACATTATCCCACCTAGATCTGGAGCACCCCCAACCAAGACCCCAAACACTAAAACCTCATAGCATCCTAGCCAAAGCATTTGCAAAACCACCAGGGTGGGAAGCTCTCAGGCAGGGCCTCTTTGCAAAGACCGCTTTGCGCGGCATTGGCAACTTTGGGCACCTGAGGTTGCTTCCCAAGGATCTCCGGTCCTTTCTTGCCAAAAACCGTTTCCCACCAACTGGTACAAGTTGTATTCACACTGGGTTCCAAAAGATTCACGTGCTCAACAGGTGTCTGGACCTTAAGAATCTCTGCAAGCCAATAATACCTCCTAACACCCTACACTCCCCGAGACGCTATACGGTAAGTTCAAGAAGCAATGGCGAGGGTGCCAAGGCTACCCAAACAACAAAACCTGCTCTAATTGCAGGCGATTGGGCCTATCACAACTGGAGCCCTTCCACCTATTGAAAACTGTATAAATCACACGACGACCACCAGAAGGCCGCTCACGAAGCTCCCTATGTCCTATTTCCTTTCATTTTAGGGGTTTAGGGCTTAGGGTTTAGGGTTTTTTCCTTGCAAGATTCCCCAGAAAATACTGGTGGACACACCTCTCCAGACTGAAGCGGGCTCCTGAGCAACTCTCACCATTGTCAACCCCGAAGCACCGCGGCCCAACACCGTGAACCCTCGAACCTTTCACAGCCTTCACCCAGAGAGCTTTTGCCATCAGTCCTACGAAACCTTACCCTAATGCAACCTTCCGCAACTCCTCTCAAGCTTGTGTAGGGCTATCCATCTCTGTCCGGGGTGTGAGACGTGGAGTCCCCTAAGTGAGGGATCTGCTGCCAAAGCTCTTCGCACGGAGCCTCGCATGTAAAGCTCGCTGGAGTCAACCTGGTGATCCGAAGCTCGTGGTACGGTCGTGGGTTCGGTATTGCCCCATAACACTGACAGTCTAACCGTCTCTAATAAGGGTACCATAAGGGGCCTTACGTGTCTACAAATATGTTCTTCAACGGTTACTGCGTGGGGGAGAAGGGGCTGAAGGTTTCGGGTTGTTTCTTCCATGGCCTTGTGACTTAGGGCCTGTCGGATGTGGAGTTAGGGGGTTGTGGTGTAGGAAAGAGAATCGGTAGTCAAATACCCACCACCACACGATTGCGATGGCTCGGACGTCATTTTTCGATGTGAAAGGCTTGCAGGTTTTCGGCACAACTCAGCTGCCCTTGACCATAAACTCCTTGTCTTCGTCCATCCTTTTTTTACACCTGGGTCTAAACCCTAAGCCCTCAGCCTGAATCCCGAAGCCGGATAGTTTCTGTAAGGTTATTGCTGCTTAGGGCTCCGGATGGGTGGATTTCAAGCGTAGGCTTCGGACTTTTCAAGTCGGGGGCTTTCCGACGGCAGCCGTTGGAAAGCAACCAACCAAAAGCTTCAACACCAAACCGCGGCCGCGGCTTTGTGAAGATTCAGAGCTTTCAGGGACATAGCTTCGAATCCTAAACCCCTAATATTATATACGAAGCCCTGAACCCTAACGCCTGCCTAAGTCCTCGAAGCCAAGATCAAACCCTGCTTACCATGGCGTCTTAGCTATTTCCAGATAATACTTTCGAGTAGTTACTGCAGAATCAGACTGCGCTAGTACACTATGGTAAAAAAGCCTCTTTCGAATCAGATTCACTTCCCCACGAAACCCTAGTCTAATTAGAAAGGCAGCTACTATGAACTCTTTAAGCCTCTAAGCTCGAAGGAGGAAACACTTCCGAACCTACACCTCCAAAATCCCAAACTGAAATCCTTGATGTTCTGTCTTTGGGGCGAGCGCTAACCCAGTTTCCAAAGCCAGGGAACACTTCGGCATGGCATCGGAGAAGCTCATCCGAAGGATAGAAATTTTCCTGACAAAGCTCAAGATAGAAAGTAACTGATGCGGAATCACCATTCTCTGAGCAATGATGCACCCCAGCCTCCCTCTCTCTCCATGTATATACTTGTTTTGTTCAGTTGTTTGTTTATACCGTTTTCCTTGTACATCCATATCTTACATTCACACTATTCTAAAATGCTGTACATTTCGATCCTTACACACACACACACACACCGCGAAACCGTGTCTACACTCTGCCTTACCGAAGGGCTCCTTCCTGCAATCCCAGGAGCCACCGAAGCGTGAAAGACCCCAGAATTCCTTCGTTGAACCTCCAGTCATTTCCGGACTTTCTCAAGTAAAGATGAAAGTTCGGGGAAGCCTCGTACAGGAGAGCCAATTCCAGGCCTTGCAGTATCTTCCAAGAGCCCTCGAAGAAAGGAATTCTCAAGCTTTCTCACAATGACACGACCCCATAGGCGCTGAGACCTTCGGAATTTGTGGATCATCCAAAATCCCAGGCCAGGATGCTCTTTGAAGCTTCAGCTGGACTTGAAGAGCCTTCCTCTTACTCTCGTCTTTTGATAAGACTTCGCCGGTTTCCCTCACACTTAGGGCCTTAGGGCCATAGGGCTGGTAATCCTAAAGCTATCCCTAAACCTATGCCCGCATTCGCTCGCCTTGCACTGCACTGTGCAGGATTCGC